CGGTTTGAAACCTTTTGCCGGGACATCTTTTAACGCGGCGTCGTGGCGTCGCGAGGAGGAGGTCATTGAGAGCTGGAAGACGCAGCTTTGGTCCCGCAGGGCCAAGTCTAGTGCCGTCACCGAGCCTGAACTTTGCAGCTATCCACCTGCACAGGCGAGCGCGGGTGTGTGCAGAATCAAGGGAGACTGGCAATCAACATCAATCAACACATCCATCTCTCCGAAGGATTCCGGAGCTCTCTTTGTGCAGATGACTGTTTCCATTTGCACATCACCACAGCCGGAGGTGATTGCCACAGTGCGCCAATTGCTGAAAAAGGCAGAGGACGCACGGCTATCGTTGAGCAATTTGTGTTCTCCAGAAAGCTTTAGAAACAGATAATGTAGACGCACTTTCTTCTGTAGCATGTTCGAAGGGGGGCTTAGGTTGCTCTCTGTCCATTATACTGAAACAAGTAGTGGCAAAGGCTGCTAGAGTTGCATTTTGGTTGATACTACGTACTGAAGCAAGTAGTGGTAAGGCTGCGAGTTGCATTTTGGTTGCTAGTGTGTTTGAGAGAGGAGTCCTACTCTCCCTTGCACTCGAAAAAGCTGCCTTTTTTTTTGGGCCTTTACAAAGCGTTGCCGTGACGGAAGGAATCCTGGAATCCTAGTGACTCAGCCTGTGTGGTCTATAGATTCGACCTAGAAGGCCAGATATGACCAAACGAAAACAACAGGAAAAGACCACGCTTTGGATCCAAGTGAGCCATGGTTCACGCATTTAGGCTGTAGGTATCGGTATCTACAACCATGGTTGCTGGCGCTCGGTCCCAGAGAAGGAGGAGAGAGCTTCGAAGCCTATGACAGCTTGGCAGCTCCATCAATGGCTTGCTCGATATGACGCGGGTGTACGAGATCTCGGCCATTTGGCTTGCAAGAATCATGTTTGCATTCACGGACCCCCAAGCTACTAGTAACAAAGGGCATCGCTAATAGGAGCAAGAAGCTACTACTAGCTCCTGGCATTAGTACTAGGAACAAGAAGCTACTAGGAACAAAGGGCATCGCTACTAAACTCTAAACCTCACAATGACAGGAGCTCAGGGCCTTGGTTGGTCGTCTTCTTTTTCAATTCCATCACCCTTCATCGCCTGCAAGAACCCCCCACGCGGTTGGCAGTAGGGGTTCCGAGATAGATCGCTTGGGCTGGTAGTTGGATCCTGGAAATGGTGGTTAATAGACACCCCTGATGAAGCAATTGGCACCCCTGAACTGCCTGAAACGGCTTGGTGTAGTGTTAGGAAAGTTGTAGACTTAGACCTGCTATGACCTGCTTATGCGAGCGAGTTGCAAACTTCTTTTTGGACACCAGGCTGCCAAGGCAGCGGTGTAGAGCTAGCAGAGATAAACAGACCGCCATATTCCACCATCCATCTCACTCCCCACAAAAGACCACAAAAGTTCTATACATATATATATATATATTATATATATATATTTATATATGCTTTTACATATATCGACCATCCAATGGATGTCCAATGGAGATCCATAACTGTTGTCGGGTAGTGCATTGGACACCCATTGGATGGTGGACACCATGTCCTCCAACCTGTGGCGCCACTGGCCGCCAGGTTGCCTTTGTATCGGCGAGTTGCGGCGCCTCTCGGATTGGGTCACCATGCCGCCGTTGAGGCGTCGCGCAGGGCGCAGAGACCGCGCCAGTTGGGCGACGTGGATCACGACCTTGCAGAAGGGGTGTGGAGGTTCAGTGGTAGGGGGCCGAACTTTTGGGTGGAGAATGAGGAGGATGTGTGGAAGTCCTGTTTCGTCCAGAATGGCCCTACTTGTAGCCGTATGGTGGTTTCATGCTGTTTCGCCAGTCGTGTTTGCCTGTTTTCCACGGATCGGACATGGGAGACAACACCCTGACACGAAGTCGTCGTCGGGCGTCGTCGTCGATCGTCCTTGCGCCGCCGGTCGCAAGTTCTTTGGGTCTGGACGGAGGGTGGCCTTGAAAAGCACTCCTGGCAGGTCCAAAGATGATATCTTGGAGTGGTTCAGCAAGGAGGTGCGCCGAGAGCACACGCTCCGGAGCAAGGCACCCAGACAACGCCTGGGGCAGGCTGGAGCAAAGACGAGCGTAGATCTTGGACTGGGGAGGGTAGAACGAAGTGGGTGAACCAACCATGTAGAGGACTGTGGAGGCTATCCTCACAGTCATCGAGAAAGAACGTTCGTGAATTGGATTGAATGGATATTCCTGACAGTCTGATTTCATCGGTGCTTGACATCAGGCAGCCCAGAAAAAGGCCATTCTTCTGCTGGAAGATGGTGAAGAGTCTGAGGATTCAGTGTTGTTTGACTTAGAACCCGAATTCACGATGGAGTACGATATGTACGTGCCACCCTGACCAGCCCTGACCCTTCAAAAAGAAGGGTGAAAATCCAAGGGTTGAGCAAGAGCAACGACATGCACATTGCGCAGAAATCTGTGTGCAAAAAAAGACAAAAAGGACTGAGGCGCGTGTCAGGGCGTCCAAGAAATTTGAGAGGTTGTCAAATTGAGAGGCCGGGCATGACAACTTCAGGTCGTCGGTATCTTAAATGCGGACGCCGAAGCCAGCTTATAGCAACTCTGACCCTGGCAGGGTTCGGAAGGGTCGGTCATAAGACATGGATTTTAGATACAGTAATTTGTTCTAGTAGTTTTCATGAGGAACTTGGATAGCCTCGAGCTGATTTTGAGATCTCGAGAGTGATTCTAAAGTCCAACACTTTTCGAGAAAGTTGAGTACCCTCAGAAAGGAATCTGAAACGCAGACATGTTCAATGATTGATCAAGGTTCATGGTCGTTCTTTCAATGGATTTGATGTCCAAACCAGGCGTCTTTGATCGGTTTGTATGAGGCCAATCTCTCAACCGCCAGAAGCTCGACAGCTGGCCGAATTGAAGCTTTCAGGGAAGGTAGGCCAGGTAGACACCCTTGGATCACGTCTTGGTCTTAGAATGTCTTAGACATGAGGTTAGACCAGTTCCAGTGCTCTATAGGACACTAAGTGAAAGGACCAGTGCTCTTCTTGTGGACTCTAAGGATCTCAATCTCTCGGGCTCCGAGTGTGTGCAATTCTTCGGGGTGGTCGAAGCAACTGAATAAGGGCTGGTTCTCGGTAATGTAGACTCTTGATCAATAGACCCTCCCACTTGAATTGGACATGCTCTTCACATGGGGGGTTTATTAATCAAGAGTCTACATTAAGGAATGTGGGAATGATTGCCCCAAGACAGATTCCTTTGGATCCATTCCCTTATTTCGTCGCACAAGTCAGACAATCACCTCACCGAATACAGCTGGATGGGATGGTGCCCCTAATTAAGCAGACGGTCCCGTCGCAGGGTCAGACCAGTCTCATCCAAACGCACGGCATAGCGCACCCCGGCCTCCCTGCCAGGTGGGACAAACCTCCCACGGAAGCCGCGAGACAGAGCTGAGTAGAGAGTCTTGTATGCTGCAATGCTGGAGTAGAGAATGTTGTTTGTGGATGAATTGTAATTATTGTTTTAAACCCTCTCCAAACCGGGAGGTGTATCAATCAATCGTCAACATTATATGGATGCCTCAATTTATTGGAGTATCAATATCTCTAATTAAGATTAGTTATATTATCTATATAATCTTTCCATATCTATTATACTATACTATATAACTAAATATAGTACATAGTTATGTATTCTGAAGATTCAGCATCTGAAGGGACGACTTTTCGCACACGGCTGGTGTGTTTGCGCCAGCCACCGCTGTGGAAGTCTTCCCTCCGGCCCTGGAGGGCCAGGGCGTCGTCGTTTGGGCCACAAAAAGGATGCAGACGACCGGGTCGGATGGACGTGCATCACAGCAAAACGATGTCCAAACAAGATCATGGGCTCTTCAATTCTCGGTTCCGAAACCGCTCCGAAGATTCACTTGGAGCCAAAAGGATGGAGTGAAGGAACTGACAAACTGCCCCTGGACCTGGAAGGTTTCGGGTACATCTTGACGTACAACAGGATATGCGTCTCAGAACGTGGCGCCGAGCCTCTGATATGAGCGCAAGATTCTTTGAAACTCTTCTTTCTATACCATAACATGCTCATTATATAACCTGTGAAGCAACAACAACCGCCCATGCGTTCTCATAACTAGCGAGGTTTTACAATCCAAAAGGGGTGGCGTAAGTTTGATCACTACCTTGTGAGGTTGATGTGTATATATACTCTTTGGCTTGGAGTTCTCGACCAATGAGTCCAACGTTCTACTCGGCCATGCGAAGGTCCAGTAGATCGCATGAGAAGGTCCACAGATTCATGTCACGCTTAAGCCAGCTCTCGCTCGCGCGCGGGGGGGGCGCGCTTTCGGCTTGAAAGCCTTGAATGCACGGGTCGAACCAGCTCGGCTTTGCGTCACAGGCGCCCAGTTTTGGTGAAAAGATGAGCACACCAGCCATCAGTACCGTCATGTGACAATCACAATGACGACAAGCTTCATGGCAGGGTATTTGTCCCTCCCACTAGTAAAGCATGGATGACGACACACAGATGCATGGCATTTATGGATATCTAAAGGTTAAGCTTCGGAAAGAAAACACGTGGCGGCGGGGATCAATTGGCCGTTTTAACTGCTAAGAACCCCCCAAACAGTCGAACAGCTTGGGCAGTTCTGCAGTTCCATTGTCTTTGTCAAGAACATGTTGTTGCCTGATGTTGCCGAAGGGTCAGTCCAGTGGCACAAGGATGACACAGGGGTTAGTTGAATCATGTTGAAGTTAGGACGTCCCAAATCCATCCAAATCTAATGTTCTCTTGGGGAACTGGGTATGTTATGGCGGTCCGACCCCCTTCTCAGCCTTGTTAGGTAGAAGACATGTGAGGCTCTAGATTGCCGACCCACCATCACCCAGACATGACGCACGAACAACGCCCCACGATAGACACGAGCCACATCCACAAGACACGAGCCACGCTCAATGAACGTCGCCCGATGGCGATTCAGCCCGAGTTTGAGCAGGAGGACCCGTGCGCGGTCTACACACGCGAGCACGCCGCTCATACCCCGCGCGCGATTTCGCGCGAAAGCGCACAGCAGAAGTTGGTGGAACTCGACAAGTGGGTTGCCTCACTCAGTGATCCTGGGTGGTTCACCATGCTTCACCATGCTTCACCATGCTCACTCAGTGATTCACTGAAGTGTCCCCATGGTCTCCTGGTGGTTCATCCTGAATGGTAGTTCACCAGTCGGGTGTCTAATCAGACCGGGAGACTGAACAGTTCTGTCTTTCGTCTTGAACCGTCACCTCCAGCGATCGGTGGACACGGCAGGATGCCTGGGAAGCATTCTTGGAGAAGACAGATCCCAGGCGGGGGAGACTTCTTCGACCTCGTCGTCTTTTGTCCGAGTTCGTCCGAGTCTCGCGGTTCCACGGTCGTCGTGTGCGGACGTCCAGTTCGGTCGGACACGGTCCATCTGTCCAGTTCGGGGTCCAGACCTGATGTCTCGGTCCGACTTGGAACACAACGTTTAAACGAGAGAACGTTGAGAAAGGAAGCGCGTCGAGAAGAAGTTTGAGAAGTATACCTGGAGTTTTGGCATCGACGAGGAGGGAGTTGGACGGATGCCTTGGACAGATGCTTGAAAATACGGGACAGATGGGTAGCTGAGTGGCACTGCAGTTGATCAGAAGGACCAACACATGGGTTCTGTGAAGGGACTTGATCTGAAATCTCAGGCGGAGCTGTACAGAGCGATTATTTTGTTGTATTTTTTTTGTTGGAGACCTTGAAAACAACGATGGGTAGGCCGCCGGTAGGCCTCCTTTTCCTTTGATCCAGCAACTTTCTATGATCATCCAAAGGTATCCAAAGGTTGTGAAATGGAGATTGGTCACTGCTTCTTTGGTGACCAGAACGTTAAAATGGTGACCTTAGACGTGACCTTCCTCGATCTGTGTAGGATGACGAAGGCTTCACAAGAGACTGCGTGATTCTCGAGGTGGGAGACCAGTGAAGTTACTCCGGCAGTCGGTCTGATGGCGTTTTCGCGTTTCAAGGGAACAAAGGTGGAGAGCTTGGGTAGTTTGGGGCGAAACCCATAGCAGCATGACTCCAAAATAGGCGTTCCGGAGGCGCCCCCCCGCTTCCAACACAAACTAGTCTACTAGTGCCGATTGCCTAGGGCCTAGGAATTGTTTTGAATTCTGGAGCCTTTTCTCGCTGGGGGAAACCTTTAGCCGAATGCCAAGGTGTTTATGTGTTTAATTGTTTGTTTCTTTCAGTTGAAGAGAATGGCACGCACACGGGCAAAGAAAACACCGGTCAAGCCGGTCAGACAGGCTAAAACCTTTGGTTTTGTGAATTATGTTCGAACAAAGGACACCGCTCATATCATATCAAAAAAAGGCAGTTGTCACAGTGCTGTGGGGCAGACTGAAGGGCTGTTGTTGGTTGTTGTGCACCTGTTTGACCTTATTTTGTTGGATAATATGTGCATCCTCTATTTAAAAAACATACACCACATACACCGATTTCCCTCCGACAAGTCACACGATTTGGTGAGCCCTGTGACGGAGGGTTCTCACTGGTCGCCTCAACAGGTGACCTTTCGGATTTTATGAGGGGACCGGTCAGACTGGGCAGGTAGTGAGGTTGGGGAGCAAACTGATACAGCCAATCCGAGATGAAGCCCTGATGTGTCGCTAGTGTCGTGCGTCCTGGTTCAGAACCAAGGAATCTAGTGCTAGATGATGCTAGATGTTCTGTTCATGTAGAAACCCATTTGACCAAGAGGTGCTCAAAGATCTTGGTTGCCGGCCTCGCACATCTCTGAGAGGTGGCGGCCACCAGGGAGACGGAGCCCAGACATGTGCAGGCGAAACTGACGTTCGGACCCCCGGATCCTTGGGTATTTGTGCGTGTGGGCTTAAAAAACAATATCAGTGTGTGATTCTTGGATATCTGTGTGTGAATGAGCTTGCTTAAAGACTTTCATCATTTGGGTCTCAATACACGCCCTGCCAAAAGCACAGGCAGAGGCAACACGGACGGCTACATTGAAGTACGGCAGGGCGCGGGATGTTCGGTCACTGTAAATGTCAAAGAATGCATTTCGCTGAATGCATGGGTATAACTCCAAGAAGACTCCATGGCGGACTCCATTCTATGCTTGTCGAGTATTCTATGCGCCAAGCGAGGCTCCACGTCGTGTTGTGCACATCCGCTCAAACATGAAAGGTGGGTTGATTCTTTTGGTGCTGCCTACGAGGGTGAATATTAATCAAGACGTAGTATGCTGAAGTGGAGAACACTCCTTATTTGTAAGAGCTTTTTCAATTCCTTTCTTCGTTACAATCAAGTGCTAGTGAGCATCACGCTTTGCATCCTATTGGGTCGAAGAAAGATGTTGAGACTATTTGATACGCATCACAAAAACGCTCAACCTCCCGCTATATGTACAACCCATTTTACCATAAATAGTGAGGCTATATAGTATCATGATATGGTCATCTTGTTGGACGAAGTCGTCATCCAGTGACCACCTCTCTGAAAAGAGTGACGATAGCCGCTACATGGACGACTGAGATGACGTCAGTAAGCTTCTAGTTTTTCACCAGGTCTAAGCATTTGCGCCTCACCCTGCATGGAGACCTCATCATTGACGACGACTTCAGTGACGAACGCTGGCTCAGCGTGGAGGAGGGGCTTCACGCCGAACCGACGGCGCGAAATGCGGTCGGGGGGAGGCTGTCATGAAGGTGAGTTGATCAGTCCCGCCTGATTGAGTGCAACATCCTGTTCTTTCCGAAAGGAAAAGTACATGGAAAGCTGTACATTCGGAGAGTACGACCTACACACAAAAGGTGCCCAAAAAGAAGAACCCGACCTGGACGCATCGTTCACCCTCGGTAAAGCTCATCCGCCACGTCTCGATCGTCGAGACGTTGGATCGACGTGGTGAGGACTCTTATTGGGAGCTGGAGACCAAGACCAACAAGTCTGGAGAAAGGATCAAAAACATCAGGCGAGCCGTAGACTGAGTCACCTGATTCGGTTCATATTGCTGTGTTAGGGATTCTGAGTTTGACAGGTGAGTAGCTTCAAAAACCTCTATGATGAAAAGTGTACAAACTGTAATCTCACATTCTTTCATGAAAGCCAAAACGCAGGTCGCGAAAGGTTCGCGAAAGCCCCGCGAAAGCCCCCCCAGAAGAACAGTGTCGCGAAAGCTTTCGCGAAAGTCGAATTTCTTGTACATGTCATGTGATGTTTATGTATGCAACCATATCTTTATGTCGGCAGCAGCAGCAGACCAGCCAGCCAGCCAGCCAGCCAGCCAGCAGCAGCAGCAGCAGACCAGCCAGCAGGCGCAGCAGCAGACCAGCCAGCAGGCGCAGCAGCAGACCAGCCACCAGCAGCAGTAGCAGACCAGCCAGCCAGCCAGCCAGCCGGCCGGCCGGCCGGCCGGCCAGCCGCAGCAGCAGCAGCAGCAGCAGCAGACCAGCCAGCAGCAGCACAGGTTTCCGAAGCCGCTCAGGTGTCTCTCTGTCGGACATTCATGCCATTCAGCAAGATTTCGGGTCTCAAGATGCACGTATTTATGTCCCTGCCTAGGCTACTAGGGCTCCAACTACCTCCTGAGAAGGTGCTTTGGGTACCAGAGGCATTCTTAAGTTGTTCCAGGGTCAGGCTTGCGGGGTGTTAGCTGCACTAAGCTTACCTTTGTTTCTCAAGGGTAAGTGCAGCTAGCACCCCGCAAGCCCGGGCTTGGGACAAGGAACCAGCAGTATTTAAGGATGCCTTTGGTACCCGAAACACCTACTTTGATTCCTTAACAATGATTTTGTTGTACAGTTCATTTTGGCTTGTAGTTCACAGTCTTTGGCACTGATACAACTGTCGTTCTTTTAAAGTTACGTTGGCATTGCGTTTTGGTGTGCTGTAAACTACTGTATCATGTTTTACTTCTTCAAGGTCCTCGTTGTTTTTCCTTTCATGCATACATCGTCAGTGCACTTGGATTGGGTTTCTTGCTTCAAGTCCGCCACACCGTGAGGTATCTTCTCTATTTGAGAAATGACTGACCTCACCTTAGCTGCCATCAGAGTTGAGTCATGGCACGGCGGTTGAGAAATCACCCCGCTTCTAGGGACCTAAGTGGACAAGCCAACTATCGGGGTATCCAAACAGGTCAGCCGGGGTCAGCCCAAAGGATCGTCCCTTTTACAACGTTGGCGATTCGAACCACTCAACGGACCATGAAACGATTCTTTTGGACAGCAGAAACAGTGACGACATGGTTGACTCCGAATCGTTCTTGGAGATTGTATATAATTGTCGCATGTTGCCGCTACAAGGCTGTGGATTTTGCCACCAGAGAAAGGTTTGCGAGAAACTGAGGTACAAAATACATTACGAAGACGCTCTTCGAACAGGAAAGACAGGACAGCTGGTTTTTGATCGAGCTGCAATTGAGATTGTTTGGTATAGTTTTCTGGTGTCATTGAGCATTTGGCACAGTAATTTTCAAAGGTTCACGAGGAACTGTTTCACCCGGGAACGGTGAGTGTTCATATCATGAGCGCCGATCAACGGGTTCCTAGTTTGCCTCGAGAGGGCAAGCAGATTCCCATAATTTTGCCAGATTTCACCAGGCTTTGTTCTAGATTCTAGACTTTCGGTAGTGCTACACAGCTGAATGCTTACCACAGAACCAAAGGGAATGTCTTTTGAAGAATCTCCTTGAGAAGGCAACACATCGATCACTCCTGGAATTTGTGTCAGTATTTTGGTTCATGAACGCAAGCTTTCGCTGCACACGCAGAGTTTGGTTCAGGTTCTTCACAAAAAGTGGTTCATCAGGGAAGGAAACATCCGATAGGGGAAGAACCATTCTACGCCGAACCGGAAAGGTTGTGGAACCGACACTGCTCAGGAACTGCCTCCAGATGAGGACTGGACACCTTCCGCTGGGGAGTGAGATGGAGTGAGGCAATGAGGGGGAAGCTTTTGGGCCAAGGATGCTCATCAAGTCAAAAGTAGCGTCTACTAGTAGCGATGCCAGGAGCTACTAGAGCGTCTAGATCAACCGATCGATCCTAGATTGACCGAACCTCACTTCACCCTTTAGCGTTCGAACTCCGCAGCGGCAGCAGCATTGCTCCGTGGCTGGGGGTCCAAAGGGCCGGTAGTGTTGGATCCGGCCGCGGAAGAGTTGGACGACGGAATCTCCACGAGTTTCTACGTCACGCAGCCGTTCCGCCATGTGGCAAACCGCATGACCAAACCGCTCAGAGCCTATGCCCAGTTTGGGAGCATCTCTTTCAATGATCTCCATGCGGAATCACCTGGCGTGGAGCATGGGGAGACCGCAAAAGAATGTAAATGACGGTTGTTCCAGCGAGGACAGCGATGATGACACGGCTGATGCCAGGATCAAGGCTGATGACAGGGGGTTGGCAGGAGACTTTCGGATGGTGCCAGAATATTAAAAAATTGCCCTTGCGGCTGCGAAATTTTGCACATCACCAGTCTGAGAGTTTGAGCTTGCACCTCTTCTGACCTGGCAGAGGGGACATGTTCTTTGCAACTGCTGAAAAGTGGAGAACCCACCCACAGATCTGGAAACCACTGGAAGCCACAGGATTGATCAAGAGAAACACCCCAAGTGGAGATTTGACACTTCTTGGATTTCACGAAATGCACAAGGCAGACATGGTCTTTTCTTGGACCTTTCTTTTTGCAATGGAGCTACGATTTACTTAATCTTCTAAGGTTCGCTGTGCATGTCTGGCTCCAAACTTGGGGTGGTTTGAGGATGGCGCATCCCACGATGGTGCCACTGGCCACTGCCTGTTCAGATGAAGCTCGAGCTCAACTCAAACACCATGGTCATGCCCACTACACGGTGTCCACCACACAGTCGCCTCACCAAAACCACCAGGTGCCGATTTTTCCAGGACCTGAACACCACCGGCCGTATCGCCGTATCACCACGTTGGGTCACGTGGCCGGGCCCGTCGGGTCGGAGTGTTCCTCGGCAGATGATCGCGAACCTCAAGGAGCCGGAACCTCGCCGCGAGGTGCGTCCGCGGTGGGGTGCAATGGAAAGACATGGTGTTGAGAGGTTCACTGGCACCCCAAGATGTCCTTGAGATATTGTCCTTTCTGTTCCACCGACATTGGGGATGATGGTGCCATCTACTCTGAAAACAATGGTAAAAGACCGAGAATGGATTGCTAAAGCCAGTGTTGGTGGACATCCTGAGCAAACAGACCACTGTGGCCTGTTTCTGGAGCCACGAGCCAGAGCAGCTAGTGCAGGGTTAATGACCACATGGAGGAGGAGACCTCCTTCAGCAACTGGATGGCTGCGTGATGTTCAAGCCTGTTGAGAGCTTTTTAACTTGTAGGTGCACAAGCAGTCGTGTGAATGCATGTTTGAACCCAATTGCCTTTGCCACAGGATTGAAGCCACAGCGGTAGACAATTTTGTCAGTTTGTTCTTTGGGGGTTGAATCTATCATGGCCACCGTGGGGCAATGGTGTGGAATCTATCCAATGTGTTGACAAAGCGTTTTCCCGGCATGAGATTGCTTCAAGAGATGATCGGACACCTCGGAGGTTCTCAGAGCGTTTGCACTTGAGGCAAGGCTTTCATGCAAAGGGCAGGGCCGGTAGGGCATAGCTAGGCTTTTACTTGTCACACCAACAGATGTCCCCATCAGCCAGTGAAAACCTGTAGCCGACATGGATGGCCAATGGATTGGTGCTTTTCTTGTCAGAAGTTTCGGTTCAAGGACTTGTGTGTACATGAGTTGAAAACATAATAAAACATATAACATATATATATATAATGATATATACCATGATTTACAATGATACTAGTTACTGCTAGTTCCAGCCTTGAAATTGGAATCAATAATGCAATCAACAGCTGTATAATTAGACTTTGACCCGCCGCCAGTCAGAGTCACTCAGCAGCTGTTCTTGCACACATATCCTGGGATTGAGGTAGTTTATGGGATCCTCAGATGAATGGATTCACAAAGAGCATGAGGTACCAAGTCCATCAGTAGAACCGACCCCGCCCCTCAGATACATAGTGCCTTTTGGAGGATACAGGCGCACAATCGCGGGTGCCATTGATCGCTGAACATTGCTATTTTCTGGGGAATGAGTTGAGAGCAGAAAACCTTCTCAGCAACTTGGTGTATGACTTGGAACGAGACGGTGCGTTGCGGTATTTGTGGTGTTGTGGATGAGAAGAGATCTTGTTGAGAAGACTTCACATGTATCCAATCGGACATATTTGGTAAAGCTAAAGTATGCTTGCTGCGCTTATCTCTTGAAAAGCAGTGACATCCTCACCGTATCCCCGCTTGTGTCAGAATTCCGATCTGATTTTTGGTGGGATTATTGTGAGCAGTTTGGATGAATATTGCAAACTAGTGGTGCAGATTTACAAGTTGATGATAGCCTATGGTTCAGTGGCGCTTCGTTGACAGGTTGATTGCATGACTATGAGTTTAAAGAATATCAAAACCATACAAGGCCTTTATCTTCCAACAGTGCAGAATTTCTGCATTCTGCCTTTTCATCTCTAAAGCCAGCCCAGTTCGGCCGACATGTTGCACAGTTGGAAGATCTAAGTATGAACTATGAACCCAATCCAGCAATGTCCCCTTCCGAAACATTCCTTGTTGAGGTGCACACCACAGTGTCACAGGGTGTTATTATATATATATATAACGTATTCTAACATCATTTTTGGGGAAGGTGTCCTACTACCTGCAGCAGTTGGTAATTAAACAAGAACAATCAAGAGCATCACTATTTTGGAGAACGGCCTTTACAAACTATCATTATCCACGGTTACAGAGAATGGGATATGCCCAATATGAACCCGAGCCAATCGTCTCACCACTGCAACTCACCACGACTGCCAAGAAATGGCAGAGATCAGCGTTGGCGCTTGGCCCAAAAGCCCACAGCTAGACGGTGCAAAAGTTCAAAGATCTTCACTGGGATATACCTATATATGTCAATTTATAATTTATGGTAACTTCTTGCTTCAATAGCAGACTTTTAAGTGACTTGTCAGTGTTTTTCATTTATTTGCCTTCTCCGAGCACCACCCTTCAATATCCTTCAATACCTCCTGGGCACGTTGAGCCATCGCACGTTGGATCTCTCATCAGGTCTCATTGGGGTCCTTCGTTTGGTCCCTCTTCGTCCCCAGGTCGATGGATCCGGCACTCCTCAGCGCCTTGGGCGCCCTCTTCGGCCACGCCACCGGCGAGTCCACCGAGTCCACGGGCGACGCGCCCAGCGCCTCCATCGCGATCCTCACCGTGCCGGGCCGTGGCATCGTCGGTACGGCCATCACTCCAAACGGAGCGAGACGGGGCGGCTGGTGCGGCGTGAGCATGGAACTGCAGGGGAGGTGGCATTTGGATGCATTTGGGGTGTAGCCTAGGGCTCTAGAGGAAGAAAGAAGGGTTTGGCAAGGTCGAAGACTTTCTCCTGTGTCTCCTACGCAGACCCTTGAGAAGAAGATGCCTTGATCTTAAGAGCAAAACAATTCAAGTTACAGTCTACAAGGAGCTTTTGACATGAGAGCTTCCACTGTTAACAAGTCGCTGGCACCTGACTGTCTCGGCACCTGACTGTCTTGGCTCGGTCTCGGATTATCAACTTCACTTCTGGGCGTCCCACTGTTGGTGTTTTCCCTTCTTAAAAGACTCTACCCTGTGCCCCATCCTCTCTCTCTCTCCTCTTTCGGTTTTGGGGGCTCCAAAAGACTATGGAAAAAGCGTCCTCGGCGCCTTCAATCTCTTCTTCCTGCCTTGCCCGTCCGAGAGGACAAGATGGAGCTTTTCCTTTGCCCATGGGTCTTTTGCAGAACCTGGGTGGCCAGGTATCGAGGTGCCGAGAGTGGAGTGGAAAAGACCGATGGAGCACGGGCCGCTTCTTGCTACTAGTAGTATTGGCCTCCACCCTAGTAGCGACGGCCTCCATCCAAGAGCGGTGGCCTCCTCCCTCAGTAGCTTCTTGCTGCTACGGACTGGGTGAGATCGTCCCAAAAGGCCACAGAACACATTGGGGGGGCACGGTGGTGCAAGCTTGGTGGCGCAAGCTTGGGGGCGCAAGCTTGGGCTCGGACCTCCAATGCGAGGCCACCCTTGGGGTGGTTGGTTGGTTTGATGTGTTGAACTGTGTTGATCCGTGTTGATGTTTCATCATGTTTTGATGCACCAAGCGACCCAAGTGGCCGATTCTTCTGACCACGATTTGCAGGGTGCCGCTGGGCTCGCAAGAGGAGGCTGCTGCGACGTTAGGCGCGGGACGGGGGACATGGGGGACACGGGGACACGGGGGACACGGGGGAACGGGGACAAGGCAGACCAGAGGACTGTGGCCCAAAGGCCCAAAGGTCTAGGAATGTCAAAGATTAGACCCAGGAAAAGGTTGATGTAGAGCAGCAAAACTAGTACCTGAATTGAGATTTGATGGTTCTTCTCACGTGAGTATATACAATAGCATCAAACCTAAACTGCTATAGATGACGTTTCATGATTTTTCTCAACTGAGAGTCTCATGTTCTCGCACATTCGACTCAGAGTGGTACCGAAAAGTGGATACACAACGTCCCAAGTTCGAGAAGGGCGTGCGCTGTTGTGAATACAAATCCCTTTTTTGTGGTCTCCCTGCATTGGCTTTTCACGGTCGGTCTAGCATGCCACGGAATAATTAGTACCTCGGCAGAACGGTTTGACCGTGCTTGGCCAAGTGGAACATAATATATCATATATTTATATCATGTACATATTACATAGCATATGAATCATATGCTATATTTATCATATGTTATATATACAGCATCGCTACTAGGAGCAAGGACGCTACTAGTAGCTCCTGGCCTTACTACCAGGAGCAAGAAGCTACTAGTAGCAAAGGGCATCGCCACTATTACTTACTAGGAGCAAGGACGCTACTAGTAGCTTTGGCCTTACTAGTAGGAACAAGAAGCTACTAGTAGCAAAGGGCATCGCTACTAGGAGCAAGGACGCTACTAGTAGCGCCTGGCCTTAGTTACTACTAGGGACAAGAAGCTACTAGTAGCAAAGGGCAT